CGACAAAGCGGCTGCCATGAACCGTGAATAGCGACGAAGAGACGCCAAGTGAAAATACTCGCTGCAATCATCGTACAAAGAGCAGAAATAGTTCGTGCCAATTTCTATCTTGGTTGAACTTTATATCCTCGGCGAAATCTACACATTGAAACATCACGTAGTGTCTATTATACCAACAAAGAGTACATTTATCGTAATCTATACAGTATTTGTCTGTGAAATCGATACGTAAAATTTACATTTAAAATTACAGCTTGCAGAGTACACGGTTTGCATATGTAAATAGATAAAAAGTCACACATAGCAATACAAGGCACGAAAAACTTTATTAGCACTTAACTATGAAACGAACGTCGAAGATGATCGCAAAAACTGCTTAGAAATGACGTTTTCTACTCAATTTAGCGTAGAATTTTTCTTATTCTTATTCTGGCAAGATTGATATTTACAATCCAAACTTCACAAAGTTGCAATCTTCGCGAGTACACAGCTTTGTTGCTGCTGCTAGTAAACTCTTTTCTCCTTCTCTCTTTAGAGCGCACGAAGGAGCGTCATTACAGTTAACCGGAACGTTTAACAGTTAACACTGTGACGTGTACACTCGTTGGGTTTTCCGTTGCGGGTGCATATACGCGCGTGTCCTCCCAATTTTGTTGCAGCCGAGCCGAGCCGGGACGATCCGCGACACGTACGCGAGTTGATTGACGCGCGAATACGTGTCCGGCGTAATACGACTCGCGAACAAGGTTGCGAACGAGCACGTACGTGCTGCGACGATGACGAGAACGACGACGGGCCCCGATGTGTGCCAAGGCGAGAGATACACCGAGGTTCCGTTGGAAAACGCGCGGATTTCACGACTCCGCGCGTGTACACAATGTCCTACCGTACACACGCAACGGCAATTCCAACGTAATACATTCGTGAAATATTCCTCGCGAAATATGGAGCCGCGATGATGTTTACGGACCCGTACGTTTTGACGGTTGAAATTTTTAATACCTCGCCGATTAAAATTGCGATTAAAATTCCGCAAGCGCGCGTAAAAGCCCGCTTGAATTCGAGCGACCGATGAATTTACTATTCGACTGTATTTGGAACATTCCAAAAGACTGAATATAAAAAACGCGCGACATTAAGGGCTTTTCCATTGTCTGGTTGACTTATATGTTTAGACTTCACTTAACTTGATGATAATGTAAAAATTGTGTTTTTCTATCTATGATAGATGATTAAACTGATGGTTTTGTAGCGATAACTTTAAAGTTAGCTCGTTACAATATTACCACCTTAGTCATATACTATACACTCTAAAAAAATATTGGTGTGAATTTTAACACTATACGGTATCTACATATATAATTCTCACTGTATTAGTGTTAATAAAAATTGCTTTCCATTTGTATACAAGTAATACTATATCTAAAGTTATGACTCAGTGAGTATTTTATATTCGGATAATGACGTCATTATTATACTTGCTTACTTTGCTGATAAAATTATCAAAATTATCATTATAACACGATACAGATTTATAACCTCACTTTCAATGTAAGTTAAAGCCTTTTGCATAACGCATAAGGCATAAGAGAATCAACCAATCAGAGTCCTTCATTTTATATTCTGATTGATTGATCGTCTTGTAGGCTTTCTACAATAAGCTATTACTTAAGCTATAAGAAATTGACCAATCATAATCGATTATTCTCCTTATATTTGATTGTGATTAGTCATTTTCTTACAGTTTAAGACTTAAAGCTTAGGTAATAATTTAAGTTCTATAATAGCTTATTATAGAAAGCACATTATGGCTTATGCGTTATACACCGTTATGCAAAAGCCTGTACTGCAGCCTTTAAGATTCACAGTAAAGTACACTTACAAGTGAGATTCAACTATCTTACTTGTCAGAATGAGAAGGAACGTACATTGACCCGAGTTGTGACATCACAAATAAGAATTATCTGAGTTTTAGTATAAATGGAAAGCAACTATTAACGCCAACATAGAACTAACAAATTAAAAACAATTTGGATTCTTTAATTAAATAACGTTTAACAATTCAAAATTAGGACTAGTAAAAATCGACACTATAAGTAGTACTCTACGTTAATTTTATATTAATAGAAAAACTATAAGCAATGTTTAACCAATTAAAAATTCATGTTTTAGTCAATAATAAAAATCAATTTTGTCATATAATAAAACATGATAATGAGAATTAAATGTGAATTTAATACCGCAAGGTGCTAAATCTATACTAACATTTTTTAGAATATAACTAGAAAAATATTATTATTATAAGGTTAAGTCGAACCACAGATTAACTAGAAAATGAGAAACTGGATTTAAAAGGTGAATGTTCGCAAAGCAAGCACGGCGATCGGAGTTAAATCAGATCCAGTTTTTGAGGGAAAAATTTGTCGCGCACACCCAATAAGAAAAGCTATCTGATGTTCGTTGTGTCCGGTCGAGCGTAAAATACGATAACGTTGGTAGATCTCTTCGAAGAAAAATAATGCACAACTTTTGATGGCCTGTGGATCGAGGGAACGAAACGCGTGCGAGACGAGATTTATTTATGGCACTCTGCCGTATCTCTCAAACGATATTTTTCGCTTCGCGTTTATTTTCAGATATACATATGCGCGTAACGCTCGCGCGGAGGTTCGCGACAGAAACCAAAGCTCGTATTTTACAATAACGTTCCCGTCGCGTTCGAGAAGCGGATTTATTTATTCAAGTGTCACGGCGATAGTCTACCCCGACGTAGAATAAAACGGAAGCAAATACGTAAAGCACGTCAATGCGATATTGATTCTTTGAAGTTTCCATTTGAACGAAAAATAGAAAAAAATATTGTCCTATCTTCATCATTTATTCATTAATGTCTTTCTGTTCAATTTACGAATAGATAAGATAAGAAGGAATTCTTGAAACGAATTCAATTTGAATTAAAAGTTTATTTCAATTTTAGATACTTTGATAAAAATATAGTAATAAATTTTAAATATACGTTTTATAGAATCATCCATCGTATTTAAAAAAAATACTATTGCAGAAAATGGCATTCTTTCATTTGCATTTTAAATTATTCATTTTTTATTTGAATAAATTTACCTTGTAATGATTCCTTATTTTACTAACTACATATCATGAGTTTCTAATGCGACAGTTTCAGTATTTTTTTCCACCGTGTGTAATCTCCTATTTTTCAAGCAAAACTTTTTCCGATGCACGCAACGGAACGCAATATTGGCGTATGCACGCGCATGCATCATGCCAGACTATCGGTTCGCGTTCTATGCATATGAACTTATGTAATTGATTTCATGTCAGTTCTCATCTCACCGCGCCGCAAGCAAGTTAGGTGCGTACGAGCGTTACGCGTCGCCGCCGACGAGACGAAGATACCGATCGAAGGAGGAGCTGCTCGAGCTCGTGGCGACTAACGAGCTGCCGGAAATCAACATTACATATCCGGCCGGAATGCGTCGTGCAAGAGATAAAAAGAATTCCCCCGTTTGTATCCCGACTAACATGCTTGTGTACCTACGCAATTTTATGCGGGAAAAGGAAATCCGTATATAAATTTAATTCAGCTTATGTTTCTCTCAAAAGAGAAAGAAAAATTAATTAGACACATCCGTCGTTTTTAATACTTTTTCGTTCGTAATATTAATGACGGATACTTTATAACTGACAAGAAAACACACGTAGTATGTAAGTGTTCCCTTTATATTTAATATTATATTCTAGTCTCTAAAATAAGGGATACATGTTTTTATTCATATGCACTTTTATACGGAGGGAAATATTTAAAAAAAAATCGGTTGTTTTCTTTTATTTTTATGGCCTATAAATAAACATTTTTTTATTTAAACAAATTTTTTAAAATTATTATTATAAAGAATTCGCGGGCGTTCGAAAAATTATTTACAACTTTTATTTCAAAAGTTTTTTCTTTTTATAGTTTCGACGACATTCGAGTCGAAAGAAAATAACCGATTTTTTTCAAAGAGATATTTCACCCTATGAAAGTGCATATAGCTGTGCATATAACACAAAAAATATGTGTCTCTTATGTGAGTCCACATTGAAAATCCTATTTGATTAAATCAACTAATCTCTTGTTTGGATATAGACAAACAAATCCTTGCTTGTGTGATGAAATAAAACAATTCAGTTGAAGCAAAAAATTTGGTTAACAGTTTACTTTTGTGTTACAGGAAACAAGTAAAATATTACACAACTTTTTGTTTTAACTAAATTATTTTATTACAACACAATCAAGAATTTGTTTGTCTATATTCAAACAAGAGATTACCATAATTAATTCAGATTCAATCAGATGGGATTCTCAGCGCAGAATATATATCGAAAGCTCATCAAAATTAAAGAAAGGCACGCGATCGTCACCATTATTACTAGAAGGGTCGGGACAAATTATCATTGTCATTGTCGCCATTATCGGGCCAATATGAGTCTAATAAAGCAAGCACGGTAGCTGCTAACTCCGGTAAACTGGATCTGCGACGAATGCGACCAGTAACTTTGGATATGACAATTCATGTTTCCTTATGAGAATATAAAGCGATGAATAATATTATAATGATTCTTTAATACATGTACTTGTAATATAAAATATTCCAAGTTCAATATAGAAAGTGTTATTCCTTACGATATTTGGAGCCGAAAATATTCAGCCAGTAATAGTTTTCCAGCTAATAAATCCACACAGAAAATAAATATTCTCATAAATGATATAAATTTTTCAGAAAACAAATATTAAAATATTATTAGTCTGTCAATCTTGAGTAAATTTTAATCAACTTTTAAATCTATTTTAAGCTAGATGTTAAAATTTATGAAGTCTTCATTGACATCTAAAAGAATTAGCCGAAACTTCGTAAAAACAACACTTTACGCTAATTCTTCGACAGTAACTCGAACGATCGACACGTTGCGACGAAATCAATTGGCAATTTGAAACGACTTACCTTTGGTTCCGTCTTAATTTTTTTCGCAGGCGGAGGACTAGCGGCAGTGTCCATTGCTTCCTCGGCGGGTGTCGTGAGCGGTGGACCCGGTACCGCGGCGACCTTGGTCTGTTCCGGTTTGGCCGCCGCGCCGGCCGCCGTGGCGCTCGCCGGACTCGGCGGCGGACAGGGTGCCGCCGCGCTGGTCGCGGGTGGCCCGGGGCCTTGTGACACGGAGAAACCTGTCCTCGAACTGGGCGGTGGTCCCTGGGTCTGTTGTGGCGCCGTGGCGGCCGGCGTTGGGCCCTGAGACTGCGTCGCACCACCGGCCGAATTTTGACCCTGCGGTGCCGGTCGCGCGGTACCGTTCATCTCCGGCTTAGTTTGCTGGGGGGTGTGATTGCTCTGCGGTTTTTCGTGCTTGTCCCGTGCTTTGTCACGCCGATGACCGCTCGAGCCGCGTTTCGAGCCAGCGGTGGACGAGGGTGCGGCACCGGTGCCGCCAGCGGATGCTGGCGAATGGCTCGGCTTCGACTTATTCGACGAAGACGATTGACCGCCGCCGGCCGCGCCGCATTCCGAATTTTGTGAGTTCTGTGCGACCGCGGCCGACGCGGACGTCGAGCCGACGGCCGAGGACGAGGACATCGAGGAGGCAGCGGTACCGTTATTCGAGTCCTGTGAGGAGACGGTACCGTTGATCTCGTTCGACTTAACGATTTCGTGTTTGGCTTCGCTGGTCTTCGTGCCGGGCTTCGTTCGCTTGATCTTCATTTTGAGGCCCTTGTCGACGGTGGCCGAGTGTTCAACGGCCATCTTGCCGGGATTGCCGGCGTTAGCGTGGACGGCGTTTACGCCGCTCACGTTCACGCCCGACGCTTGCTTATTACCAGTGACTACAGATGCGGTACCGTTTGCGTTACCGGCGCCGTTCGCGCTACCGGTGCCGTTCGCGCTGCTACTGCCGCTCCCGGGACTGTTGGAACGCGTTGACGATGAATTCACGCCACAAGAAGAGGACGATGAGGATGAGGATGAGGAGGAGGACGACGACAACGACGATGACGAAGACGACGACGATTGACTTCCGACGTTCGTACCGGTCGACGGGACGGACGAGGACGAGGAGTTGGAGTTGAGACCACTCGCTGAGTTTTGTAATTGATGATGATTCGCGTTATTCGGTGCCGATGCTGCCGAGGCAGGCGTAGAAGCCATGCCTGTCCCCGAGCTCAATTTCTCGTCCCTCGTCTTCTCAATGTCCGCATCAAGATCGATTATCAGGTCACCTATGCCAATGTCCCATTCGTTGTCGTCGTACTCAAAGTTATTGGTCGCATTCGTCGCGGCCGGATCCAGTTCACCGGCGTTAGCAGCCACTGTGCTTGCTTTATTAGACTCACGCTGCTGCCCCGACGACGACGACGACGACGACGACGATGACAATGATGACTTGTCCCGACCCTGATGGTGATGATGATGGTGATGATGGTGGTGATGATGGTGATGGTGATGGTGACGATGATCGCGGTGTTCCCTGCCAATCAGTGCTCTCTCTTGCCTTCTCGATTGACCGCCGCTGGCGTTGTTATTACTTAAGCCGTTGTTGTTGTTGTTGCTGCCGCTGCTGTTACCGTTACTGGTGTTGCTGTTGCTGCCGTTACCACCACTGTTACTATTACTATTATTAAATTGTTGTTGTTGTTGCTGCCGCCGCTGTTACCGTTACTGGTGTTGCTGTTGCTGCCGTTACCACCACTGTTACTATTACTATTATTACTACTAATACCACCACCACCGGTGCACGGAGATGGTCCTTTACGATTTACGTTAGGGAGGCGACCGCCTAGTGGCGTGGTCGCCATGCCCTTGGAAACGTTTCCCCGGCGCCCGCCAGCCTGGTCACCGACTGCCCGCCGTTTCTCACTTTGGATACCAAGTAGTAGTAGTGGTAGCACGCGTGACTACACGCGTTATCATTACCCCGACCACCGCCCGCGAGACGCGCCTCGTCCATCGAACACATCACTCACTCTCTCGCTTCTACTCTCGCTCAACGTAATTCGCGATATATCCCAGCCCGGCGGTATCTCTCTTCTCTCTCCCCTCTCTCTCTTTCTCTTTCTTCCTCGCGCCTTCCACTTCTTGGTGTTATCGTGTGTACACCTTATCCACTTTGATTTCTCTTCACCACACTTGCCCCTGTCGTTAATTCTTACTCGCGTAGCTGAGACGCGTAACCCGATATACCTCTCACCACTCTTCACAGACGGCACACTGATCCCCGACACAACACAACGATCACAGCCACTGAACCCCCCCCGTTAGATCACGAACACACCATCCGACACCACTCGTGATTACTTCCAACGTCGTAGGAAATCTCGCCGACCATCCGCGCTCTCGGAATCCTGAGACCCGAGGATGGTAGCTCCTCCACCTGTCTCCCACTTGTCGTGAGTTAAGCCATGTCCCCCGAAACGATCCTCCCAGTCAGCCTAGCGTGCGGTTCTTCCCTTCGATTTCCCGACGGAACCGCGCCTCGGCTGATCGACGTGCTTCCGATCTGTAACAACGTAAGTGATTCCCTTCAACGTTGCCGTTAAACGTGTAACGATTAATTTACGATTTAACGGATTAGCTTAAGATTATCTTGTCGAAGCAGTCACTCCGGAATGAATCTGATTAATATTCGTCTGTTATTCATGGATTTCAATTCTACTAATTATATATTTCATTACGTTACAGTCTATTTTATATATGCTCATTAGTATTAAGGTATTAAAATTTTATAAAAATCTTTTTATTTATTTTAAAAATATATCATTTCTTATTTTTAAGTAACAACGATTATCTTTAACAAAAAATATATTCTTGATAATAATCTTAAAATATACACTTACATTATAGAATTAAAAAAACTCATTACATACTAAAAAAAAAAAGAATTTTTCTTTTTAAATGTATTATAAAATTAATTTTAAAAAAGCAACATATATATGATAAACAAATCAAATTCATTTTAACTTAATAATTATAATTGAAATATTAAACTTATTAGAGAGAGGGGAGATTTAGAGAAAACATTTTAAATAAATTTATAATGCTCACGATAAACTTATGACAGATTTGTGAAAATATAAACTTTCGAAATACTTGAAACAAGTAATTATTACTTGAGTGTAATATGTAATATTTTTTTGTATACGTCGTAAATTTTGTGTATAAAATATAGCAACAGACAAAAATGGAGCAACTCCAATATAGTAAGGCAAGCACAATCCGTTTCGTTTGCTTTGTAAAACAACGACGAGATGTGGCGGCACATTCTTAACTTAATAGACATGCCACTCGTCGCTAACATAAGATGCATTCCAGTAGCATAAGCCATACTATTATTTTAGAAAAAGACGAGATGACTATCGTTACTTCTTTTTTTACAATAATAAGGAATCTATGATATAAACTGTTATACAATCTTGTTAAGGACAGTTGCACTGTTGCACAATATTACTTGCTCTCTTATAAACTAGAACTTATTTTTAAACTTGATATTTAAGAGTGTTCTATCGCAAGGATAGAAAAAAAGTATTTTTAATAAAGTATTGTATAAATTTTATACTCTCTTCTTTTTTTTTGTTATTTTAATTTTAAAATGGTTTGACATTTTTTTACATTAAAAAAAATTTATTCGATAAATTCAAAAACACCAACAGTATAGATTTGCAAAAATTAATTTAACTTTATTTAAAGATACATAGAACGTTTCGATAATATTGTATATATATGCAACTTTAAAAAATATAGATAGTACATTTAACATCTTGGGTATTAAATATAATTCTCACTGTGTTGATGATTCTCATCAACACCAACAAGATGAGAATTAGATACATTAGTATGATGTTAAATCCACATCTATATATTTTAGAATATTTTTACTAATTAATTAACAATCGTGAAACAATAATTTTAAAAAATTCGTTATTTTAGGAAAATATGCTATAATGTTCTTGATGAGAATGAGAAAATTCTGCAGAGCTAGTGATTCAGAATTGTGTAGTAAAATTAGAAGAGAGAGACAAAAGTGTTTACGAATTTTACGGGCTACGATAGACAGGAGGGCGCGGTCGCCCGTTTGAGACTCCGATTAATTTGGCAGCGCTAATTTGGCGTCGCGGCTGGTCTATTCGAAAGACTGCGCGCGTCACTTTGTAGTCACATTGCTTTCATAAACAATGCTCGATAGCCAGATAAGTCTTCAGGAGCACTTGGCCGGCGGCCAATAATCAGCGAAACGCGCGCGCTTTGCTCACCGGCGTTCTCTTGGGAGAACTCAAGAACGAGTCGAGAGTCAGCGTAAACCGGGTTGTTAGCTTCGATATAACGACATGTTTAGAGACCCGCTCTACCCACCCGCTTCCTCCTCCTCCTCCTCCTCCTCTCCACCTTCCGGCTTTCACCCCGGGCGCGCGACGCGGTGCAAATCTCCTCGTCTCTCCCTCCGGGACGCTCTCTCTTTCTCTCTCTGTTTCGCACCTACAAATTGGTATTCCCACTTAGAGAGGAATTCGTGTCAGGCAACGATTAATTTTACCGGCGGCATTTTGGCCGCGGTCCAACCGCCCCGCGTCAGTAACGACCGGTGCGAGAAAGAGAAACGAGGAGATTTGGACGAGGAGAGGGAGATATATCGACGGATCTCCCAATAGAGAGTACAGTAGAATTTATTCCATGTTCTCTAAAACCGAGTCCTCTCGGAACATTATACGTGACACACGACCGCATGCAACCGTGACAGTAGATGGTCGACGTGGGAAATAGAAAAAAAAAAAAGAGAACAGCAAGTGACAAAATATTGCACAAAAAAGAATAATAATTTCAGATAAAAATGATTTATAACTGATAAAATTTATAAATGTGCAGCTTGTTTAAAGTCTATCATGATGATATCGATTCATCGTACGTGCGCAAAAGCAGAATGATTAAACAGCAGTTAGTATATTTACGATCGAAGATAAACGATCCGAGCATGGCTTCTTAAAGTGAAGAATAGAATTAACATAAATTACCGAGAATGACTCGTCAGACTTTCTTTAATGTAATTCAATATAATGTTTCGACGCGTGCACGTCAATTTATGTTGGCGATCAATTTTACGCGATCGGCTATCTTTACGAGTTCCGAAATTCTTTTTAATTTAATAATGTTATAAATAGCGAGATACGAGACGGTTTTATAATGCTACTTAAAATCTCTTAAAATAAGAAAAGAAACAGATATAAACACTTAAGCTTCAAAAAATAAGTACATATAAAATCTAGTTGCTCACGCAATTATTTCTCCGTTTCACCTCGTTTCTTTCGTGGTCATAGACTGGATAATCGTTAAATGTATCGATCAACTATTACCCAATCGACCGCTACATTGTATTAATTCATGCGAACGTCCCGTTGATCGACGCGCAGAAAATCGACCTCGACAAAGACGTACCGCTTTATAGTATCGCACACGATGACAGCTCGGCTGTTATTACTCTTATTTTGATTGTTTCCCCTTTAAGGTTGAATAGACGGATAACGCATCTATCGACCGCGGACGTAAATGCCTTGCGTGATTATAGCTCCGCGTGTAAACGAACTCTAAAGTGAACTCTCGCAGAAATTTCATCGGAAAGCGAACTTCTAAAAAATTTGTATAAAAAAGCCATGTATACATACAAAGAAAAACGTTCTGGTTAAACCAATAAAAAGGTCCAATCAAAATGCTATTCTGATTAGAATTTTCTTGTTCATTAATCAACATTTTTCTCAGTGTAGTTAGTTACATACAATATGTAACATGCATATATTAATAAATTTATAATCTAATATTACTTCACAATTACGTTCGTAGCTGTTACTTTATATTATAAAGAAAAAAATTTGATTGAAAATAAACAAACCAGCAGATTCTGATCATATCAATCGGAATTCTCATCATGATCGGATGATTGATTCTCATCTAATTATCTCAGAATTATAATGTAGATTTAATGTATATATCATAAAATGTACTATAAAATTTTGATTTATCCATTTTCTATTAAAATTCCAATTAATGCAACTATATTCTTTTTCCAGTATATTTTGTTATTTTACGTTATGCAAAACTTATAATAAGTAATTCGGTAAGTTGAAGATCATAAGTCTAACATAATATCTACTTCATTAACATTAAGTTCCTCGAGCGAAACTTATATTAACATAACTTATGTATCATACTTTGTACTTTCAGATTAGCTTTGCATCACGTCGCAAAAAGGAGACGATATATATTCGAGAGTTAATCGAGAAGAAGCGGAAGTCACAAAATCGCACGATCGCAGCGTGGCCGGGAAGTTGCCCCATCCTTAAGTTACACCGTCCCCGCATTAAGTTACATGATTAATCGCACGACTTCGGAGTCTCGCGACGAAAATAATATCCGGTGCAATTTATACCGGGTGGGATAAAGACGAGTCGTTAAGACGAGAACATCGTGGGCAACGCGCGAGGGTTCTTCTCTCCTCTACGCTCTCGTAACAATTCCACGAATGGAGATTGACGGCATTCCTGGGAGAACAATTGGTAAGCCCGAACTATTCCGTGCTATGGGCGCAAGCATTCTGGCGAACCTCGATCGTAATGACGTCAATGAAGTCCACCACCAAGGTCGAACAGGGGAAAATTTACCTTGTTAACAGAGTTGAGTTAACCTGCGAATACTTCGATTTAAGACGGATATAAGAGAAGCAGAGCTAATGAGTTGCATTCGGAAAATAAAATGAGAGAAAATATAAATTAGCATTCTACAAAGAGTAATATACCTTCTTCAAAGATTGGAGATTTTTCCTTCGATGAAAAGAAAAGAATTGAGGGAAGAAATATAACAAAATAAATGTATGAAAAAAATCGCTTCGTTTTATAAAAAGATTTTGTAGAAAATTCGTAAAAATGATCTCTCTAAATTCTTAGAAGTGAGATTCATTCCAAAGAGTTTACAGAATGGCGCATATATATTTAAAATAGTTTTTTTTCGCATATATCAAACGGATTCCATCGTTTAATAAATTTTGGTGTACAATATTACGCAATAAAAATGTCTCTATATAAATACCTTATTACCTCAAGATTATATACAATAAAGAACATTTTATTGCTCTTATAATTACGCATATCAATAAAAAATAATTTTAATTAACATTTAAATCAGTAGCGAATCCCGTTTAGTAAGCTCGTTATTAAAGCTTATCAAGTAAACGCAATAAACCAGCTGTGTATTTTTTGTAAATAACTTTTTCAGCCAGCAAAATACCGTTACGCGTTCACCTAAAAGGAACACGTATTAATTACGTTAATTTGTAGAATTAATCAAACGTGTCGGTCTGTCGGCGGACGCGTTAATACGGAAACAAAGACAGGTTTCTTCTTGGCACAGCTAGTTATTCCCTTTGTTTTGCACAGAGCGAGTTTCTTATTAACATGTAGCACGGCAGTCAAGTAAAGAGAAGGGGTCATCGCTTATGCTAACGATGCTGCCGCTACT